GAGGCACGACGACGAAAATTGCAAGAGGAACTCGTACAGATTACGGTAGGTGTTTACCGTAATCGCACCTCGGTATGTTGGGACTGTTTTTATCGATTGATAGATTTCCCTCTTCCAGACTCGAAATGATCAGTCGTTGACTACTGTCAAAGCCTCCTTNCGGATACAGAAACTGACACAGACTTTGGTGGTCGTTTCGAAAGGGTCCCAGCTTTCTAAGGACAGTTTTTCGAAGGATTCGTTCATCCAGTCTATCTATCAACCTCAGACTTCATAACTACCCATGATCTCTGGGGCTACCCAAATTGCTGTATAACGAGAATGAACAGAAGGGGCAATAGTAGCGCATACGTTTTCGCCAGCTTCTGGTCGCACAGGAACTACGGATGTGAAGCATTATGCTCGATCGTTCAAAGCATGCGACAGTTCCTAGTCAGTTGTCCCGTCGCACGTTCTGCCGCTCGAGTAGAACGTCTGCTACCTGGAAATTCCGGTCGATGGTGGCAGTACCTAGTTAAGTGAAAGTTCGAAAATTTTGAAAGCGAAAAAATCAGCTAGAATCAGTTGGTCACACTCGAGGAGCAAGCATAATTGCTCTATCACTTGGTGGAAGGAGGCCCATAGCTCCGGTATGTATTCGATAGTTGGCGATCCCTCCCAGACTCTTTCGGTGAAATTCAATGTGCGGTATCCTCTTTCTGTAGCGAAACATGTAGAAATCTCGCTAAATTCTCATTCTGACCTTGAGCGATAGAGAATTTTTCGACATTAGTGCTTGCGTGTAGGACGGATGGGTCTAGACGAAATAAGTTTTTTTTTGGAGAGGGAGTGGCTTCAGAAGCGGAACGGGATGGCAACTCCGACTTGAGTGTTGCCATTACCACAAGCAGCAGGTGGCTTTTATGTCAGCTCAAAAAAGGGCTATAAAGTTCAGTGTCAGTCTTTTGCGGACGGAGCGCTCTTAGTTGCCGAAGAAAAAATTTATTTAGATTCGAGAAAAACTCCAAAATCGTTTTCTGGTTTCAGACACTTTTGGTTCAAAGTACATAAATGTTAACCCCTCAAAATTATTTTATTTTTCGGAAAATCATTACTTCAGAACACCCATCAGTCCGAATTGGAAACGATTCGCCACCATTATGAGCATCAGCTGAAAGGAATGCGAGAACGTATAGAACATGAAGAGGCACGACGACGAAAATTGCAAGAGGAACTCGTACAGATTACGGTAGGTGTTTACCGTAATCGCACCTCGGTATGTTGGAACTGATTTTATCGATTGATAAACTTGTCTTTTTCAGACTCGGAATGATCAATCGTTGACTACTGTCAAAGCGTCTTTTGAAGATGTACTAGAAGAGCAACGTAGCGGATTTCAAGAAGAAATGGAACAGCTTCGAAAGGAACATCAACGAGAATTGGATGAGGAAAAAGCTGCGACGAGGTTCGATTCCTGTTTTTCTTTTATCCTAACAGACGAGTGCACTTTGCGTGCAGCAGCTCCCGAATCGGTTTATGGCCATTTATTAGGTTGTCATGTCTCTTTCTTTCAAAATTCGTACTTTGCAGGCTAGCCTTAGAAGCCGTACGCCGAGCTCATGAAGAAGAGCTGAGGCAAGCCACGTCGAAGAAAGCGAACGGAGAGAAAGATCGCGATACGACACGGCAAAAGTGAGTCTCCTTCTGATTCCACTTCTATTTTTCAACCAAATACAAACCTTGGCGACACCCCTCCCTACTGCCAGGTGCCCCTAAGGCGAAGTCCGCCCTCGATGTCCAATTAAATGAATCTTCCCCAAATGGGAAGTGGTGGTTGAATAGGTCGTACAGCGCGAAGAAAGATGCGTGTTGACCTAGGCCTAGCCTTCGCAACGGCTCTTCCTCCTAAGCTGTCAACAGGAAGTTGACGCTCTAACATCTTTAGCATGGAGACCAACAAAGCAGATGACTTTTGACTCATCTTCCTTCCACTCAAAGCTCATTTCTCAGAATTGAGCCCCTCTAAATCGTCATCAAAGCCAATTATGATCCGTAAAAGTTCGTGTGGACTTGTAGGGTCTCACAGTCGCCGAGATAATGGACATACTTAGCAGAAAACGACGGCAACAGTTTACGTAGTTACATGACTCCTGAATCCTTTCGAACTTCTGCTGAATTCCCTGTCATCCCGCTTTTCAGTCCTCGAGTGAAACTGAGCCTTCTCAAGAAATCCTTCGGTTATGTATACACTAAGAAAGAAATTGGTAAACTGGTGCCGTCCGAAAGCAGAGCGAGTGCTCATTATTTTTTCCTTAGTACTGGATACTTTCTCCCGAATTGAACTGATACGAATTCAGAGATTCCCAACAAACTACATACTTTGTGGTTTGTCGTCAAAACGGGAATCCAGCTTTCAAAGACTGGTAGGGAGATAGCGCAGAGGTCTTACAAAGTCATCAACACTGGGGCCTCCTACTCTAGCCAGATTTCTGAGCAGCGGCCCAATGATGACTTTTATCGGGATGCTAATTGATTGCTCAGTTAGAAGGTGTCAGTAGTTTGTCGGATTTGATTGCTCGCTAGCTTTTTTTTAAATCTAGATTGACGATTATTAATAGTAGTGAGCTCATAAAGACTCGCCCTACAGCTACTGGTTCAAGAATCCTAAAAAGGTATACCATTTTTAGAATAGTTTTTACAGTTTCAGTGCGATGTTGGAGCAGATGAGGGAGGAATTGACGAATTTGTCAGCCGCCTATTCAGCCAAATGCATCGAGAACGCTCAACTTGACGAGCGACTATCCGCACTGATGGAAGAGCGGGAGCGAGAAGGTGAAAGGTACGTATAAAGTGGTCGGTTTAGCGATTTCAATAATAAAATTTGCTCGAGATAGGGGATTAGAAGCAATATATCCAATCTGGAGAGGAGAGATCTTTTCCTTCATATTTTTCGATATAAGTATGATATAATGGAAGCTACTGCGCTGTGTCCCCATCTTGAGCCGCTTCGCAGCCGCGCGCGTTATAAGTTAGTACTCTCCAAGCGCTTACTTGCTCAGCGTGAACCACGGAACTGTTTGATAATCGAAAATTCTTCTTTATGAATGGAGATTGCCTTTAATTTTCTGAGTTTTGCAAAATCATGCCTTCTCCTCTGTAGAATCAATCCATAGCTTCGAAACCACGAAAGTCACACAGTAAACGCCCTGAAAAATTGATTGGCCGATCGAAAGTCGGTAAATCAATCATGTATTCTAACCAATAAGCTTTGATATGAAAGGATATCCTAGTGATTGAAAGTATTTTTGAATTTAGGAAGATGTAAGAAACTATGTACCTATTATGAACTTCCCCTCAAACTGACCGGTAAAACTTACTGTGTCTTCCCATCTTTGTGATGTCGCCTCTAACAGTACCGTATCCCAGCTACTGTAACATTGTCAGTGTTAAAGTGTGTAGTTGATTGACGGAGTGTAATTGGCAAAAGTGTACTGTGGTTGAGCATCAGACTGCCGACTGCTTTATGCTAGCTGATATATGTATCTATCGCCCTGCATTTACTGGTTGGAGTGTGATTCTGTACAAGAACCTGAAGATTACGGTAGGCAATTTTTACCGTTTTCAGTGAGGACATACAACGACTGCAACGCGATTTGATGGCTCGTGATTCGCAAGTGGCCGAGTTGCAACGGCGAATTTCAGCATACGAACGGCGTACCAGCGGCGAATCGCCTATTGTCGCTAGCGGTACGTTTATACTATAATCATATTAATGTTTTAACCATCCGTCATTCAATCAATAAATCTTACCGTAATACTTCAGGACGTAGACGGTCATCATCGCGGTAAGTGTGTGGCCTGGTTGTGCTGTGGCATGCGTCAACCCTAGTTTTAGATTGCCATACTTGATCGTTTACTCAATGCTACCTACCTATTGCTAATGATACTTATTGATTGGTCCGCTTAGCTTTCAAAACCTATCGATCTGTATCCTGTCGCATTGTGGTCGCGTTGTGTATTCGACAAAATGTGGCATAGAATTTAGACATACGAACGTAGTTCATAGCCGGTCGCGGCGATTCTAACAAACTTAATCGTTCGAACAATCAATAACTATCTTTTACGTGTATGGATCGGTACGCAGCGATCGGCTTTGCGTACATAGTAGTGTCTAGATGTTCTATCCTTTAGTTTTCCTAGATTATCTGTCGCGCTTAGTTAGCGGTCGTAGGGTTTGGTTCAATTGCCTGCCATCCCTTTTTTCCGGTATTAGATTTAGTCGCCTGCCTAATTCTTAGTTCGCCTATTTTATCCCTATGTTATCTGGTCTCACTAACCATTTTGACCATTTTTATCCATTCCAGACAAGGACGAGTTACCCTCGGAGGTACCGTGCTCCGAGAAAACCAACTCAGCAGTCAAGTATAGAAAGATGAATAAAAGCCGACGTACTGGTAAGAGTACTTATGGTTGAAAGGTTTCTGTTACTGTTCTCGCTACGGTATTGACCAATTAATGTGAATTTACAGATATTCGCTTCCACAGTAATCCAGTAATTCCGATTCTCGAAGGAGTACCCGAATATCTGGCTGATGATGTACGTCGTTCGTTAGCCGTACCCGTTAGTGAACGTCGTAAATTTTTTGAAACCATTGCCGAATACAGTACCCCATTCTGAACACAGTATCCTATTCTGTTCACCAGTCTCATTTTTCTGTAAACTTTTTAATATTAGTAGACGTTACAGTACTCTTAGAGGAGTACGGTATGTTATTAATATGACCAAGGATCTTCCTATTGAGATTATCGCCCTAGAAATGTACAATCACTTGAAATTGAGAGGCTTTTCTCCTTCTGAAGCATTTTCTCATTTCAAGCTGCTCTGCGCAGCAACACGCTACGCAAACCGCTACGCCCACGCCCGCCCGCCCGCCCTGATATGCGCTATTACTATGTATAGAATTATAATAATTAATAAGATTTCTAAAAAAAATTGAAGCATAAACCAAATCATTCTGATGATGATAATGATGAAGATAAAATAGTCCAAATTTGTGATCGTTTCCTCCCCATATGTTCTGTTTTGTTCTCGTTCAGCCGCTCATTGCAATCGTGTTCCTTTTGACCTGTCCACTTTACTGTTTTGTGTGTCTCTCTGTGTGTAAATAAAGTTTTATTTCATTTTTTCGTGATTTTTCATTTTTTTGTAGATGTACGCCTCGGCGTATATACCATCTACCTGCTCTTCATCAACAGACAAAGCGAAATTTCCTTTCGATTCGGTTCTTGTCAATAAGTTCAAGTGGGAGCCGCCATGCTTCTGACTTCTCTACGAATTTATTGACTATTTAGCCATCTCAAAGGGTAGGTAATGTGAAGTTGAAGTGGTAAAGGTCTGAGGGTCTCGGACTCTATGACTTCCTCGGATCGTGCCATGAATCTGAGATTTCTACGAGGACATGCATAGCTGAGGGTTTGATGGATACCTGCTCATCTGAGTCAACGATTCCCTGAGGATTTTCAGTTGATAATAAGAGTCTGTTATGATTCCTCAATTTTTTGACAAAAAA